GAGGAAGAGGAGGAGGAGGACGACGAGGAGGAGGAGGAGGAAGAGGAGGAGGACGAGAAGGAGGACGAGGAGGAGGAAGAGGAAGAGAAGGAGGAGGAGGAGGAAAAGAAAGAGGAAGAGGAGGACAAGGATGAGGAGGAGGAGGAAGTGGAAGAGGAAGAGAAAGAGGAGGAGGAGGAGGAAGAGGACGAGGAGGACGAGGAATAGAAAGAAATGAGGACGAGGAGGAGTAGGAAGAGCAAGATGAGGAAAAGAAAGAGGAGGAGGAGGAGGAGGAGGAGGAGATGTCTGTCTGAATCTGAAACTCTGTCCGACACCTCGGACTGCAGCAGGAAGAAAAAGACGCTCTTATTGTGAAACGTCTGATTTTTGAGGTTCATTGATCAGACGAAACAATCGTCGCTGCCGTTATTGATCCTTCCCCTCTCGGTGCACATGCTGATGATCAGTCATCTCACCTGTTTGGTCATGGAGTCGATGAGGCGGACGTACAGGTCCTGCTCCGTCCTCACCCCTGCACACAAACCAACAGTCGGGGTTAGCGTGAGCGAGCGGGGCTGTGCTGCTCATTAAAACAAGCGCACCCACCGTTACTGTAGAGCAGCTGCAGCTTGTAGTGGATCCCGTTGTTGGTCTTCTCGCCCGTCGGCTCCTGAAACAAAGTCAGGAAACAAACTGAGGCGTGGGTGCGTTTGGTTTCACCACCTGATGTGACCAAGCAGAAGTTCTGCATGTTTTAGTGCATTAGAGCGCGCTGGTGTGTAACTATTTCAACCTTTACACAAGCGCACACGTGTGAGGTGGCTGAGCCTGCTGCATAATCAGAGGGGAATATTTAAACTGATCATTCTAAGCACACGTTGTTTGCTTGATGCTGAAATGAAGCGTCAGCTCCTGTGTTTAGAAAACATGCAAACTTTTGGAAATCGGCCGTGAAACTAAACACACCTCTCAGCTCTGTTTGGGGCTTCATTTTCCCTGCTTGGTGAATCACATTCACACTGGTCTGTCTGCACTGAGCCGAAGCTGTTGGGCTGATAAACATGAATCAACCTTCGGCACAGACGCGACTGTCAGAGGGAAAAACTGCTGCATTAAAATGACGCAAACTGCATTTTATTGTGTTTACTGTGCACACTACTGCCAAACACACCTGTCACAGGTGCTGTTGTCTATTGTTACGCTGCTGGAGCTGCGGTATCAGTTTGATGAACGAAGCCTGAGCTCGGGATGCGGAGCTGACGGTCTCAGCTGTCCAGATAAATCTGCATTTTTATTTAAATGTAAAAAATATGAAGTGAGGTTCAAATAAAAGCCACGTGTGCGACGCTGATAAAATCAGCACTACTGTGTCACTGTGCTTGAGTTCAGCCTGAATGGCAGTCGCAGCGTTACGGCGCCTGGCAGAGGGTCTCCTTCCTGTCGGGATGCGACTGAGTCTCTAAAGTTCAGATTCCGTCTCTGTTCTCCGTCATAAGAATGAGAGCGTCTTTGATTTCTGTCTTTGCACACTGTGCGGTGTGTTTGTTTTATGTCCCAGCTCCTCCCCGCATCCCTCTGGGTCTCACCTTCTCCTTTTCCACAAAGTCGACGTAGGCGGTGCGTTCGATCTCGACGGGCTGACCCTGGCGGTCGTACAGAGCCAGCACGAAGTGGAAGAAATTGGACTTCCTCAGGTTGGACGGCGGCTGCTTCTCAAAGTGAGCGCGAGCTAACCCCACCCCGCTGAAAAGCAAAGAGATGGACAGAAATATAAAAGATGCAGGAGGACGAGGTCAAGTTTATTGTTGCAGTCGTCACAGAGCTTCCTGCGCTGTTATTTCAGCAGGATGACAGTTTTCTTCAGCGTTTCTCTGTCACAGTAAAATATTTCACGTCTGGCTCATGTGCTGAAAAACAGCGTATTACAGTAAAATGCACAAAGTGCTTTAAATCCAGGAAAACTTCCTGAAGATGAACAAGGTCAGAGCTCAGATTAGGACTCGCTGAAGAAAAACGCAGGTCGGACGCGATTAATCGCAGCTTCACGCGGTCGTCAGGCCGAGAAACACATCACACATTCACCGTATCAAAGTCTGGACGATGAACACGCCTCAGCACAGACACACTTCAGTCTGACCAATTACACATTATACTGCAGTAATAATACAGCAGCGCGTTATTAGAGCTGTAGTAAAATGTGTGTTTAATTTAAATAAACACGTTTGAGTCGACTTTAAAAAGCTTCTCACGGGTGAAAATATCCAGAAGCTTTTCCTTGTTTCACGGCGAGAAGGTGACTGAGGAAAAACAAGCTCTGCACTAAAAAAGAAAAATTCACATTTCATGAGTTTAATCATAATAAATCAGCTGAAACGTTTCTGTTAAATTAAACGGAGGATTTCGCTGCAGGAAAACCTGCACGATCCAATTTATTCATAAACGTGAGGATAAAAATCTTCATCATTCACCAAACATGCTGCACAACTTTAAACGGTCACATGGACGCAGCTTCAACATGTTAAAGAGAGAAAATCAGGTTCACACAAACTGTGAATCACATGCTCGATTTATTAATATTCATGCGAAGAAGTCAAACTGCAGCTTTGACCTCGACCGCGAACATCATCGGAATATCTCCCAGCGTTAAACCCGGACGGCGGCGCAGAGACAAACATGCTTTCATAGAAACAAGTCGTGCTTTTAATCTGAAATCTTTAAGGTCACAAAATGTTAGAAATGTTTTTGATGAGAATAAACTTGAATTTGTAGTTTATGTCATCATGAACTAAAATCATCGTGTCAGGAAATCTAACGAGAGAAAAGAGTTTGTGCTGAGAATTTAAAAATATTTCTAATAGTTTTTGTTTCATTTTTAAAATGATTTAAATGAATTTCCTGCAGATGTTCAGATGGATTTAATTCTTTTTGTTCTATTTTTGAACATTAATGTTTCTTTTCTCAGAGTGAAATGATTTTTGTGGCTCATCCTGAAAAAACTTTGTGGTATTTTCCATCGTTCTAATGCAGAAACAGATCCGACGGCTGAAGCTGCTAACGATGATAAACTGTGACGCTCAGCTGCAGGGCGAGCTCAGACCGCTGCCGACCCGTGCCTCGTTTATTACACGCAGCGCTTTAACCCCAAACCTTCGACGCCATCCAGAGAAACACGAAGTCAGTCTGAGGAAAAATAAAACGAGCTGCTCCTCGGCTCAGACAAACGTTTCACTTTGGGAAACAAACACAAGGAAAAGTCTTTGAGTCAAACTCTGAAAATTTAAAGATCAAATAGAATTATTTGGATGATTTTTGATAAGTGTTTCCTCGCTGTTTTTATTCACTTTAAATAACTCACATTTACAAAAACATTCTCCCTGTTTGTCTGTGAGCTGCAGGAATTTTCCTAAACTTCAGAAACATTTTAAAATCTTATTTTCAATCTGTCTGACCTTCAGAAACATCTAAATAATCTATTTTTTCCCCTCCAGCAAAATAATAATTAGTGTTTTTTTCTGCTGAAGATTTAAAATTAAAATCTTTTCTTTGAGCTGCAAATTTTTTTCTTTCGAGTGAAATAAAACTGCTGTGGGTCCGTTGGGACTACAGCTCCCGGAGTCCCTGCGGGGTGGCGGGCAGTTTACCTCTGAGCAGCTGTGTTGGCGTCCACCACACCGGCCGAGTGCATCCAGGAGCGAACGGCCAGCGGCTCCTCCTTCATGTTGGCCGTGGCCCCGCGGGGCAGGTTGTCCTGGATCCCAAACATCTCAGGGGCCCGGATGCTGCGAGCGTCGCTGCTGCAGCTCAGTCGCAAAAACAAGAAGAAGAAGCAGAAAAAGTCCAGCAGAAAAAATGTGATCTACAGGACGGAGCGAGGCTTCTGGACGGGCGACATTTTCTTCACCCGCACGTCGAGGTCTAAAACGAGGCGGCGAGGACGAAGAAAAACAAGGAGTTTAAAATTCTGCTGAACTTTTCGTCTGATTTGCAGATTTAATTCAACTTTTCAGGGCAGAAATTTTTTTAAGTTTTTAAGAAGGTTTTTTTTTTTATTCTTGATCATCAGTGACAGAAAAAAAGGCCGGAGGAGGAGGAGGAAACGGGAAAAGAGAAATAAAATCCTCAGAGGACGAGAAAACGAGGGGGAGAACAGCCGGGTCCGGACGGCGAATCAAGCAAAGTGTCTTTTTTCTTTTCCCCAAAGAGAGGAGGAGAGAGGAGGTGGGCTGGGATGGAGGGGTGAGGAGCGGAGGAGAAACTCTCAGCCCTGCGGCCCCACAGGACTGGACGGCAAAACCCAAAAACCCCACGGGTCTTCCTCCTTGCTGCTGACGACATCACGGCGGGGGTGGGGCCTGGCCTTATAAGGACAGGAGAGGTGAGAGACGATGTGTGTGCGCGGGTGTGCGAGAGCAAGATGAAGAGAGGGAGGAGGGGGAGGAGGGGGAGGAGGTGCCAACCAACCAGAGCCAGAGAGAGAGGTCTTGATCGCCCCATGCTCTCGCTCGCTCTCTCTCGCAGTCTGAACTGGTTCCTGTTTATCCCATCACTTCGTGTGGCTGTGGTGAAAATCCGCTCAGAGATCCAGTCCTTGTGGTCCTGGGTCTGTTATCAGACCCTGAGCCAGGTCAGCGGGTCCCTGATGGTCTCTGTGGTAGCAGCTCAGGCCAGACGGAGGCTGAAAGACCCGACCGAGTTCAGACTCTCATCCAGGAGGTCAAGGTGGAACTATTCCTGACCCTGATCCAGAACCTGAGCAGCAGTCACCACGGTCTAGTTCTGGTTCCGCTTCAGGACCAGGTCCCATCCTCATGTTTCTAACACAGCAAGTGTCTCCTGTGACTCAAGTTTGTGACCACTTCCTGCTTGCTCAGAGGGCCGGCGGTACCGGAGGTGTTCGCTCGCTGAAACCGGGGTAACGTGAAGCCGGCACAGGTGTTAAAACCCCTGAGCTTAAATAGTCTCGCGCTCAATCGCCAGAGAGCGCTGTGACCTGGACACAAATAGGTTTGGGCTTGTTTTTCCCGTCTCAGAGGCGACTGCTTCAGAAATCCAATTATCTCTGAATCCTAATCATCTCAATCGATCATCTCCATCAGTAAATGTCCAATCAGCCGTCACGGTGCGTCCTGTGGTTCACTGACAACAATCTTCAGTTGTCTGATGCTTCCTTCGCTTTTGTCTCTCGGCTGATTTTCATCACCTTGGTCAGAAACTTCCTCTGAGAGGATCTGACTGTCAGACAAGAAGCGAGGCAGGTTTTTCACAGCCACTCCAGTCTTCAGGGGCGAAGGCCTCCGAGGCTCCGAGGGGTGGGCCGACCAGCAGAGGAAGGAAAAGAGAAGGGGAGGAGGAGGAGACAAAACCCATCTGCACAAACGAAGAAGAAGAGGAAAAACACAAGGAGGAGAATGAAATTATTTCCAGGAAATTCAAAGTGAAAATATGATGAAGAGGAGCAGAAAGGGAAGAGGAGAGGAGGTGATCTTTCTCCAGGATGAATGTGAGTGACGAAAATTGTAAACGTAAATAAAAATTTCAGCAACTGATCGACCAACAAACGATCGGCGAGAATAAATAATTATATTTAATAATAATTGATCAGCCTGCAGGTTCAAATTTAACAAAGTGAACAAATGAGCTGCCGAGTACGGGCAGGCTGGGTGGGGTGGGGGTGGGGGGGCCACATCCCCGACCCGCTCGCAGGGTGACGAGAAACAAAGGGGGATGGACGTAAACACCCCGCTGCTTCACGTCCACATCAGCTGATGGTTTTTAGTTTTTGATTAAAAATAACTTTGTTTTTAATTTTTGCTTCTTCATCATCCTGCGGACGAACTGTTAATATGGACGTTCAGTAATTTAGGCGCTCGTGTATTGTAATTACATTAGAGACAGAAAATGATCCTGTAAATGAAATAAACATCGAGTTTCTCTTTTCTTCAAGCTGGAGAATAAAGAGCGGGCCGACGCTGAAGAGGGAGAAGAGTTGATTTAAAGCGAGGCTGTAAATGTGGGAGCAGAGGTCAGCAGAGACGCACTCCTGTTTCCACTGTGAGCTTTTATTTAAATGTGCTTTTATGATCTGATCTACATGAAGACAAACTCGGTTAGGGTCCGAGTCCATTCATCAACCGCAGGCGACCGATCCTGGCGTGCTCGCGCTGATGGATGCGATCGCTTATTCCCCACGTTTGACTTCATTATTGGAGCGTCTGAAGCCGTGACAAAGGTCTCACCTCTCAGTGATCAGGTTTACCAACACTTTATCAGCTTAATGTTTTTTGATTTTCTCAGAAAAATCATTTAAATGTAGGATTAAAAAAGTCTTTCAGCTCAAACAGATGAATCCAGACTGAAGCCTCATCTTTGTTTTTTGTTTGTGCCAAAATTAAAATTAGCTTTTTAGATTTTCTTTGAATGAAAAATGTAACATTGCTTGTCTGTTTTATTTTATTTATTAATCTGAGTGAAATCATTGGATTTCACTCAGATTAGTTAGAATATGTGAATTTAATCATTTCAGATAAACTCAGATATGTTACCTCGTTTCTTCCTCTTTCTGCAGTTTTCTGAGGCTCAGCGCTGCAGCGAGTGTGTGTGTTACAGCCCCTCTGTATTGTGTGTCAAGTGTTTCCTTTTGTGTGTGTGTGTGTGAGACGCTGGGAGCACTCAGCACACACACACATTTGCATTTAAATAGCGACATCAACCAGCGTTCACGGCACAAACCGGCGGGTTTCCCAGATGTCACAGCAAAGTCAGATGGCCCAGCTGTCTCTCTCTCTCACACACACACACACACACACACACACACACACACACACACACACACACACACACACACACACAGCTGACTCTGTAAAAAACACTCATTGGTTCATTTGTTTAGCCAAAACTACAACTGAACCTGCAGCCTGAGCCGGTCTGATCACCTGAGTGTTTCCACCAGCAGCTCTCCTTTACAGGAACTCTGGATCTGTCCGGCTTCCTGCTGATCATCTAGACGTCCAGGACTCGTCCCAGGACCAGAGCAGGTGATAACACAGACAAACCTCTGCAGCAGCGTTAGGAAGATGAATATAACGCATGTTTCAATCTGTCTGTGACGTCTAAACATTTTAACTCGCCGTCTAAATTTCAGTAAATCGTGACGGTTCCAATTTTTCACATGTGCCGATTTTTGGTTCTTTCCCGTTTTGTTTCTGCTGCTTTTATGATCGTCTAAGCAGACGACTCGCTGCACACCTGCACCTGTGCACACATCAATACCTCAGTTTTTTCCAGCTTTATTTAAATTGTTATCGCAGGCTCATCTCAAAGATTCAGTTTTCCTCAAATAAAACATCTGCAAACATCTTACATTAAGTGTTGCCTTTGGGCACCTGTCTGTGTTGGGATCTTGTACAGCCACAAAATAAAAGACCCCGTCATGTCAGGTTATGTTATCACATTTTTCCAACGTTATTCTGACCTTGTTACCTTGTAAAGTTCATTTTATCTTAAGAGACGTACGATTTCTGATCACTCGGCTTTCAGCGAGATTTCTTCTATTTGAATGAAAAGAGACGAGCTCGGTGTGAACGAGCCAGTGGCTCGAGTCTGACATCAGCCCGCTGTGGATGACGGCATCACCGAAACAGCTCCGAGAAGTTTGCGAAGACTCGGCTGTGCCGCGGTCAGTTTGAAGATGGCAATAAAATCAAAGACAATAATGCATTGAGCCTGACACTAACCCTGAGCTCGTATTGTCTCGTGCGCCTCACATCTCAGCTGATCCAGTCAACCAGAGTCTCAGCTGTCAATCAAACTGCTGACTGCATCTGATTGGATAATGGCTGACAGTTCTCCTTTAGGTTCTCAGTCACACTCTACCGGCTTCAGCTCGACTCCTCAGTGTCCTGTCATCACTGACATTACCCTTTATTTTTCATCCGCTCGTCCCCATTTCATCTTTTATGTGGGCTTTTTCCCCTCACCTTCTCCTGTCTCCTCACGTCTCCACTGTATTTTATTTCAATGCGTCTCTATTGTTTGACTCTACTGCAGGTACTGAGGGAGTCAAACAAAAAGAGGACAAAACAGGAGAGAGAGCAGAAAAATGGAAATAAAACGAGAGGAAACAAAGCGCTCGACCTTCAGCACCAAACAGAAAAACACTGTGTGTGTGTGTGTGTGTGTGTGTGTGTGTGTGTGTGTGTGTGTGTGTGTGTGTGTGTGTGTGTGTGTGTGTGTGTG